CAGTGTATGTTCCCACCGGCCGAACCCCTCGCCGCGCTGGGGAGCATCGTGGCCTAACCCCTCGCCACGCAGGGGAACATTGTGGCCTAACCCCTCGCCACGCGGGGGAAAAACGCGGTCTAACCCCTCACCGCGCTGGGGTTGGTGGCCTAACCCCTCGCCACGCAGGGGGAGCCTACGGTCTAACCCCTCACCGTGCTGGGGATCGCCTGACCTCGCAGTCTCGCCCTGCGAGGGTCGGCTGCGGTCTAACCCCTCACCGCGCTGGGGTGCGACGTACTGCTTTCCGTACTGCTCCCTCTCGTTGACGCGGTCTAACCCCTCACCGCGCTGGGTTGCTTTGCTCCGCTCGGAGCGGTCGTCGGGCTGTCCCTGGCTCGTGGAGATCGGGTCGTGGTGCTCATGGGGCCGCACCCCCACTATCTCCTGTCCATCATGACGCCGCCCTTCGACCCTTTGTTCTCCTTCGCCTCGAAGGAGTCCTTCATCGTCGATACGGCCTAACCCCTCGCCGTGCTGGGGTGCAGTGTCGTCGTCCTCCTCGTAGAGCTCGAGCTCGATGTAGTCGCCTGCCGCGGCCCTGGCTAACCTGCTCGAGCACGCCAGTGTATGTTCCCATCGGCCTAACCCCTCGCCGCGCTGGGGAGCATCGTGGCCTAACCCCTCGCCACGCCGGGGTCCCTCACCCGCTGGGCTTGATGCTGCCGCCGATGCGCTTGTCGCCGTGGAGACTCTGCACGTCCTTCTTGCAGGTGACGTGGCATCCGTACTCCCAGCAGTCGCCCGCTCAAGCCTGCAGCACCAGCTGCCGCGACTGAGGCCAGCTTCCACGGGGTCTCCTGCTTGATGATCGTCATCTGATTCAGGCCGTCGTGGGGGTGGCGGCCTTTGTCCGTCTGGCGCCCGATCTCCTAACGCCCTGCGGAACATGTCTCGTAGCCGTGCAAGTTCACGCCGATGCCGATGAGCCAATCTACGATACTCTTCGGGTTCTGTCTCTGGCGCATGGAGTCGTTCGTAGAACTCATCCCTTCTCGCCGTTGTTTGTCTCCACGCACTTCCGCACTGCTGCTCGATGATCTGTTGCATCGTCTGCCCTGGGAACCAGCGCCTCAATGTGCGGCACAGGGGGTGATTGTTCTCGTCGGTGAGCATCTGCGTGAGCATCGCTACGCACCACTCCTGCCAGCTGTCGCTGTCTCTGGCCAAGCACGTAAGATCGTCGTACCACAGTGTTGCCCATTCTCTAAGATCAGCACGCATGTCGGCATAATCTTGTGGCCCCGTGTCCTCAACGATCGGCGGTAGTCCCATCGCGCCTGGATCCTGATCCAATACTCCATTGCTGTCGTCCATCCTGCAATTGTCGTCGTGGTTATGGCTGTCCACTACGTTCTGACTCCCCCCACGGTCGGTACTTTCAGCACTCGTGGCCAAAGGGGCTGCGTGCATCCAGTGCGTGCCGCGGGGGGCAGATTCCGATCCAGCTGCATGGCGACGATCTGTGCGGTCTAACCCCTCACCGTGCTGGGGTGTGAAGTGGCCTAACCCCTCGCCGCGCTGGGGTACGCCTCGGTTTGACTCCTCCCCGCGCAGGGGCGCTTCGCTGAAGAAATCGTCGATGTCCCTCTGCACCTCGGGGTCGTCGTAATCCTCCAACTCCTGTGACCTCGGCTCAGGCAGAGGCTCGCACTCGCAATCTGTTGGGTGTACCGCTGCTGGCCGGATACTTGCCACTGGTGTCTTTCTCGTAATCCGTCTCGGTCGGGGTGTAGGGTGTGGTTCTGGAGGGGGCACATTCCCAACCAAAGGGCCGCCGTACTCATGCGGCGCTAGCCGTTCTTGATCATGTAGCTCACGCACCTGCCTAGCTATTTGAGCCTCTTGTGCAGCTCGCGGTGGTTCTTTCCTGTAGCCAGGGTAGCGTCCGTCCCGAATCTTGTTGAGCGCATCCTGCCCGTACTTGGTGATCGTCTCGCTGCACTGCTCGCGTAGCCTTTTCCCAATGGTCGTTCCATGTGCTGCGCACCGCGCACAGAATAGCAGTCCGTACCGCACCCATTCACTGACCACGTGGCTGCAATGTATCTTGCCATTGCCCATGAACCTGTCGCCCTTTACCTCGACTATCTCGTTGGCCGTGCTGTATGTAGCGTTGCATTCCGTCATGGCAAACTCCTGCAGGGCGTCCGCTGTGATGTACTGTCTGCAGGCTGTGCAAAACCACTTATTCTTGAGCCTGACCATATCGTGCTGCTTCATCTTGTCGACGACTTCCTTTACTCGGTCCCTCTTGGCTTTGGGCTTGGCTGTGGAGGGCCTCTCAGCGCGCCAGGGGTCTATGTTCGCCGTGTCCGCCAAGGCCTGCCTCGCTCGTAATCGTACATGAGCACAGATCGCATCCCATTCGTCTGTCCGTGGTATTGGCGTGCACACTCTTTCCCAAGAAGCTTCTGCCGCAACCGTAGCTAATGCGTCTGCAAAGCTGTTGCCCATCGCAAAAATCGGGTTGACTAGCTCAACCTCGTCCTCGTCCTGGTGCGACGGGGTCCACTCCACTCCGATGTGTCTGGGGGACGTGTCCATCACCGCCCTCTTGATGCGTGCCCATAAATCCGCGTTCTTCCCTCGCCCAGGGTCTTGAGCTCTGCCTTTTGTCCAAGCTGTGAGGAGTGGGTAGTGGTCCGTGACGTAAACAATGTCTCCTCTCGTTTCCTCTATGGCGATCGCGAAGGCCGTGATCTCTGCCCGCGGTACGGTTTGACGCCGTCCTGGTAGGTCTGCCATCGTGCCTGCTGACATACTCCACTTGCCGTCGATCATCTTCATGGTTGCCACTCCGATGCCTACTCGTCTCCTTCGGGGGTCGCCACCGTAGCAACCGCCTGAGCCATCACCAAATAAAATAGATAGAGACTGCGTCCTGGCACTCGAGCTGCTTCGTGGTCGCCGAACCTGACGTAGTCCTGTCTGTCGATGTCGTTGACCACTGGGTGAGTGAGCTCTCTGGGCGGGATACCTCGGAGCCATAAGGTCGGGTTTGCCTCGACGCCAGCGAGCGCCTTTGGCACCAAGTAGTCCGTCTTCTCATAGTTTTCGTGTCCTGTGTTGGCCGTGCAAGTGTAGATGCGGTGGAAGATGGTCTCGGGCTCCTGCTTGCACCTTTCGCAGATGTTCGTGTCGCACTCGTAACCTGCCAAATCTGCCGTTGCCGAGTCCATTGTCCACCCGTAACCACAACATTATTGAGTGCCCAATCTTGCCATTCAGCCCGCTGGCTGTATCTTTGTTGCTCCTTACTTATGTGCCATATGTCTCCTCCTCGTTGCAAGTCGTCCCCGTGCAAATGCGTAGCTGCTTGAGCCCACCTCGCCACTTCTAGGTCGTACTCCAGATCCTCCAGCAGCTGTGTGTACTCTATAGCATCAATGTCGCACTTGCCATCGTCATCTATGAAGGGGAGCTGCCATTGTTCGTCACCTTGTGGTGTCGGTCGCTTCCATAGTGCCGCCTGGATTGGCTTCCACCCCGCCGCCATTAGAGTAGCCTGCACCGCTGCCACTGGGCCGTGTACCTTACGCCACAGCTGCGTGCCTGCTCTGACCAACTTACGGTAAGTCGGTCCCCATGCTTGTCGTACTCGTCGATGAATTTCTGGGTGAAGGAGCCATTGGTGTAGCCATTCGCTGACAAGTTGCCGTCGCAAGCTGATGCCTGGGTCCTTCAAGTGATACAGCACAGCCATGCCAGTGGATAAGCACCTTCCTGGTCCTGTGCCCGCCGCCGACTTCATGGCCATACGTCGTAACTGTAATATTCGGCTAGGTGCAATGCCCCAGACCTCGTGCCCATATGACTCCTGGGGGGAGACGCCTGTGGTGAAGAGGCCCTTGGTAACCCTCGCCACTCGCGTCGCCATCCTTCGTAGCCTGAAAATCTTGCCCGCTCGCTGCTTGGCCTTTCGCTGGCGCGCCCGAGCCTTTTTCTGTGTGCGCTTGCCCATGCCACTGACGTCGGTGCCCAAGTCCACCATGTCGCTTTGTTGCTTACCAGGGAGTCCTCGGCGTTGTAGTTTGCGCCATATTCGTCTTCGGAGCTTGGGATTGGATGCCACGAGCACCGTCTTGGGCGAGATGATGAGGCTGCGCTTCCCTGCCTGGATGATGAACTCATCGACCAACTCCACCATCTGCTGCTCTACCGTCTCCTCGGTACCTTCGACCCTTCCAACCGTGTCGTCCACGTATGTCCATAGACCCGCTGCCTGGACTCGCTTCTGGGCTGCGTCCAAGAGCGGGAACAGGTACACCTTGGCGAATCTAGTCCCTTGGGCTGAGCCCGCCACGATCGAACATGACGGGTCGATCCTGGGCCCGATCCACTCCGTGTGCTTGAGGTGCCGTGGGCCCAGGAACGCTTCGACCTCCATAGCCATAATTGTCGGTGAGAAATCCAGCTCGATCCCCGTGTCAATAAGCCATCCCAAGTCTAACGAATCGTAAAACTGCTCCATATCCGCGAACAACTCCGCATGTGCAATGCCCATGGAATGGCCCGTCTCGTCGAGGGCAGCTCGCAGCAAAGCCGCTCGTAACGCCGAGGATCCACGCAACGCTGTATCCCAATGGTCCTCCAACTGCTGCGTCCACGACTCGACCACTCCCGACCGCATTCGTGACCATATACGAATCGTCATAGGTAAAAGCCCTAAGACCCGATCACCTCCTGCTGGTTTGCCTGCGATCGCGCCGATGGTGCCTAGGACTTGAGGAGGCCACATCAGATGCTCTTCGGCTTGCGCGATGATATCCAAAAAGTCGTACTTGGCCTGGTCAGGGAGCCTCTCGATGCCCAAGGGACCTATCGCATCGATACCTCGTGCCTTCTTGACCCCCATACGGTGGGTGGCTGCGTTGAGGTCCTGGATCGTGAGTTTGGGAGGTCCTCTTGGGCCGCCGAGAGACGGCAACGTCGAAGAGCGCATGCAAGTGCTGTCTGTCTATGCGGGGCGGCCGTCCACTTCTTGGCCCAACTTTCGCTCTTGTGGCTCATGATGAGGATGGGGTCGGCCACGATCTTGCCTGAGATCATCTCCTCGAGCCGCGGCTGCTGCGTGTCCTTCGTCCATCTGTGCAGGGCTCCAGGGGTCTTCTTCCGCATATCTTGCGCCCGCCTGATGAAGCCCTTTGTGCCATCTGCCAGAGCTCTCCGCGCAGCTTGTCCTGCCAACCTCTCGGTGATCTCTATCACGTCCTCTCTCTCCTGACGGGCTGGGCTGAAAATGTCGTGCGCCATCTGCTGCCACTGGTTGAGCAGCTCGATATCGTTGTGCTTGCTGACCACATGTGCCTGCTGTATACGCTGTCGAAACTCTTGCCCTCGTTGTAGCAGCTGCTGTGGGTCTTTGTTGTTTTTCACTAGGCCGTTGATCGCGATCACCTGCGTGTGCGTGATGGCCCACCAATCTGCCTCAGAATTGTACAGATGCGGTCTGCCTGGCGATGCTGTGCTCTTTTTCCACTTGATGCCGAAACCCTGCGCCCTTCCTCGATAGCCGTCTCGTTGGTGTTGGGGTACCTCTGAATGTTGCAAAACTGCCTCCTCCACGGCCCCGGTCCACCTGCCGTAGCTGTTCGCCAACTTCTGCGCCAGCAGTGGGCGATCACGATAGGCCTGAGGTCGCCAACGGTCCCCTCTGAGTTGAATATCTGGTGGGATGCCAGGCAATCCCCATTTGGCATCCTCCCACGTAGCGCTACTGATGTGGAAGTTGATGGACGGTGAGTCCGCGCTTGGAGTCTGAGTTGTCGGGGATGTGTTCGTAGTCGTTGTGCCTGGATCCTGCTCGAGGAGGTCGAAACCGTGCCGAAGTACAGGTTCCAGCTCTTCGCGTCTCTGTTGGCGTCGTACCTGCTGCTTACGCCGCTTGCTGTCCAGGTCCTTCTGCTTCTTCGGCCTCGGCACCGTGGGCAACGCTTTGGGAATGTCCAGCGCGCGGTGCCACCATCGCTGCTTCTTGCCTGCCAGCCTGGTGCGAAGCCCACAATGCGTCGCCCATGGTACTGTCAGCTCTTTGGCAATGGTAAGCCCTTCCTTGCAGCCCGCGGCGACGACGCCGTAGTCGTAGAGGGAGCCCTTGCCTTTGTCGCATGTGACCTCCTCTGGGCCCGTGACGATCTCGCCTCGCATCTGTTCTATCCAACCAGATGCGAGCAGCTCAGTAGGGACGCAGTTCCAATCCGCCACGACGAGCCATGTGTCCTTCAGCAAGCGCACGAAGGCCGTGAGGGCTGCCATGACCTTTCGGTTCCTGCCCGTGAAACGCAGGGTCGGTAGTAGGTACGCCGCGATGATGATGAAACTGCCGATGCTGAGGTGCAGCACCATGGGGGAGAAACCGACGAAGGCCGAGTCCCCTTGCTTGTCGTGCTTGCCCTTCCAGTGCTCCAAGGACGTGGACTGTATGTGTGTGCGCGTGGCGACGAGTCCACCCGCGGACCATCCTTTCTCCGACTTGCCACTGGGGACCGCGGGGGTAATCGCCGCCTTCCATCCTTCCTTCTGAGGGAACGTCTTCATGGCTGAGACTTGGTTTGGCCCCTTATGCGTTTCCACAAACGCCAAGCAATCGAACTGCTGCGCGGCTGGGCCTTGTACGTAGTTCTGCACCTGTGGGCCCCACTCCGTAATGTTGCCGAACAGGACCTGGAACTCCTCGCTCTGCTGCTGGGTGGACTGCGCCTCGCTAAAGCCCAGACTGCTCAGCACCATCAGCCAGACCGTCAGCTTGCTCATGAGCTTCGCGAGCCTTGCGCCTCTCAGCCCGAGCCTGCTCCAAGGCTGCCTGATTGGCGTCCCTGATCTTCTTCTTCTCGTCCTCGGGGTTGATGGCTGCCGCACCTGCGCCGTTGCTTGCGGTCGCTGGCGTTGCTGTGGTGGGTGCCTCAGGCGCAGGGGGTTCCTCTTCCACTGCCTCTGCCTTGGGTCCTTCTGCTCCTGCTTCGACCTTGCGCTTCTTTTTGGGGGCCTGCATGGCCTTCTTTGCCTTCTGGTGGATCTCCTCGATGTACTTGAACTTCGCCTGCAGGGTGCCCAGCTGCTCCTTTTGGAACTGCTCCAGCTCGCTCTTCCACTGCATGATGCTGTCCATCTCCTCGGACGGTATGTCGCACTCCTCGAGGCCCTCGAAGAGCGAGCCGTCGTACTCGAACTTGACGTTGAGGGTCTTCTCATCGGGTTTGACCACGATGATGCCCGACTCCTGGTTGGCCTGCTGGAGCGCTGTGAGATGCCGCTGCTGCACCTCGACCCTCTGCTGGGCCAACTTGTCCATCTTCTCGAGCTGGTCGTCCAAGTACAGCTGCGCGCCCGTGAGCTTCGTCCGCTGCTTCTCAATGCGATTGTCCAGCTCCTTGAGCGCGCGATTGGCGTCGGCCAGCAGCTGGGCGCCCGTACGCTGCTTGGGTGGGGCTGGTGCAGGCTTGGCGTTGGCCTCCTCCTCTTGGGCTTTGCGGCGCAGCGTGTCCAAGGCGGCCGTGATGGTGGGGTCGCTCTTCTCGCCGACGCCCTGGTACGCAGCCAAGCTCGTGATGAGGGAGACCGTGGTGATCGGGTCGGACTGTCCGCCATCGCCCATCTGCGCCTCCACGGTGTCCCAGCCAGCCTTGGTGCTTGCGTACGTGGAGTGCCGCCATGGTGCCCACTTCTTCCACTGCCGTCCCGAGCGTGGCCAACCCGCAGAATGGGATCCATTCTGTGCCCAAACTCCAGACGGTAGCGGTGGGACGCCGACGGTGGGGCGGAGCTTCGCCTTGCACTTGAAGCACTCGACTTTGCTGCTCCAGTTCCACTTGTAGCCGCACGCTTTGCACCCAATATACCCCGCTGCTTTGCCATCGTCTCCCATGCCGCGGGTCGCTGAGCAACAGGAGTGCTCACCTGCGGGCTGCAGGCGGCACGCAGAGTCCTGGGGCGGACCAGGCTCTGCGAAACAGACGGGGTATGCCGCGGACTAGCGGTATCCAGTTTCGCCGATGCGGGCTCCGCCCGCAGAAGCATCAGCCTTGAGCCAAAATGGCTACGGAGGAGGACGAGAAGGAGGAGGAGGAGGAGGAGGGGGAGGAGGAGGAGGAGGAGCACGAAACGGCCAAAACTCCGCAGCACCGGAACGCCAACCACCGCACGAGGCACCGGGGCCCAGGACATGCCCAAGAGCCCGCCCGCCAGCTTCCCGTCAGGCTCGTCGCCGTGCACCTTCTCGATCTCGTCCTCGTCGTCATCGTGCTCGCCCTCGCCCTCGTCCTTGTGATCCTCTTCCTCCTCGTCCTCCTCCTCCTCCTCATCCTCCTCCGCTTGTTCATCCCATTTCTTCTCCTGTTCCTGCTGCCCATCTCCCTCCTCCCTCCTTTCCTTCCCTCCTGATTATCCTCCTGCTCGTCGCCATCCTTCTTCTTTCTCCTCCTCCTCCTCCTCCTCCTCCTCCTCCTCCTCCTCCTCCCCTTATCCTCATTTCTCCTTCCCCCCTCCTCCCTCTCTTCATGCTCCTCTTCTCCTTTGCCACCTCCGTGCTGTCCTTCGTTGTCCTCCTGCTCTTTCCTCAAGCTTCGTCTGACGTTTTGAGTCGTCTCCGAAACAATCTCCGCCTGGAAGACCGTCTCGAAAATGGTGGAGTTGCTGCTGTTCAAGAACTCGCTGAACTGCAACTGCGACAGCGAGCGGGCCTCTCTGGTGTGCAGGCGCGTACAGGGGTGCGATTCTGGCTGCCCCGCAAGGATTGGAACACAGGAGAACGAAGAGCCTTTGACCATACGCCGTCGGTCGGAAGAAGTAGGTAGAACCATGAAGTAAGAAGACGTTGAACATATATTGGGTTTCCGCCCCCCCCCTAAGGAGGACGGAAACGGTGAAGCCTCTCGATCATTGAAGTAGGAGGGCACCTAAAGTATATTGGAATCTGGGAATCCAAAAATACCAATTTTCAAAGATCGATGGGTACGCCTTCGGTGGCAACTCGTGGGAGCCTCCCATACCATCTTGTCGGCTCTTGCGCATCGACGCTAGTCGGCGCTGAATCGGCGCCAATCGACGCCACATCGACGCAAAACGACGCGAAATCGGGCTATCCCAGCGACTCCCACACGCTAATCGACGCTAGTCGACGCTGCAGACGGATTTGAGAGGGTATATGACTATCGTTAATCCGATCTCCATCCCCAGCGGCGTGGCCTGGGCCCCACTGGCCGATGTACCCCCCTAGATGGGGATATAGGCCGTTCCCTTCGGGTTTCGAGGGGTGTACCCCCAACTCGGGTGGTCATTTGGTGGGAGTCAGGAAAGGGATGGGGATGGGGATGGGATAAACGGATACCGAGTATACCAGGCTCCCATGATTTCCTGCCGACTACGCCCAGCCTTGCTGCTTGATCGGTTGGCGTCGTCCAGGGGCGCGGCACCGCTCCCACGGGCACCGCCTGGCGACACGACCCGGTGGCCCGGACTGGGGGGCGACGGGCACTCACTGGGCCCAGGACTGGGAGAACAGAACGGCGAGGCGAGGCGGGGTTGCGAGACGCGACATTCGGGCCGGATAGAAAGGGGGGGATTGGGAAAGGGGGGTCTACGAAATCTGCTGCATGCAGCTGGCGTCGGCCCCACCGAGGAGCCCATTCCTCGATACACAGCCGCCTCCGGCGCTGGGAGGCGCCAGGAAAGTCAGCTACGTGAGTTGATTCTCAATCCCCCCCTTTGCTATCCCCCTTTTCGCCCGGCCCGAGACATGTGCACCACATGGGCCTGGAACGAGGAGGAACAGGCGGGGGCGAAAAGAGGGAGAAAGTGGGTTAACATAGGAGGAGGGACCACGGCAGAAACAGAAACTTTTGGCGCTCCGCGCGGAGTTCTTGGATCTGCGCTGGAACCCCCTCCCTCGTGCGCGGAGCGCGCCGGGGGCGGCGCCGGAGGCGCCGCCGGGGGGGCCCAGCGCGGATATAAGAAACCCGAGCGGAGCGCCAACAGTTCCTGCTTATGCGTTTTCTTCGAGAACAGCACAACTACAGTAGGAGCTCGACCACAAGAAACCTTCCACAAGAAACCCAGCCCTGAGACCCCAGGACGTCCATTGAGGTTTGGTGCGGAAGCGTCACGCTTTTCATAGCAAAGCCATCGAAACCGAAGAAACCCAGGGCACCCTGAAGGCAAAGAGGTTGTTTCTTGGCTGCACGGGCTAGCTCCCCACAACAAAGCACGGCTCGCTATTGTGATGGGAGGCGCAGCCCTTCTCAGCGTATGGCAACAGACATACACCGCCGCCGCAGCCCTACTGTGACGCAGGAATCGCGGGCACTGCTGACAGGCTCAAGCCCTGGTGCAACGACCTCAATGCCGCAGCACCGAGGCACAACCCACACTGAGAGGGCGTCCCATCCCAGTCACAAGTGCAAGAAGCGCACTCTCCCAGAGGAGGAAGAGAAAGAGGGGGAACGATGCGACTACTTCCATTGGGTGGTGTGTTTGGGCTGCAACTTGGTGCGCCAATCATACTGATGCTTATGGTCGTGATGTTTTCTGCACGCGAGGGTAATCAACAATCCAGAGTCGCTTCACGCAATATGCCTGCTGAGTACCACGTTCCACACCAGAGCAATCAAATTTACAAAACCCTCTCGCTTGCGAGGCATGATTATGTGCCGGTTATTCTAATGCTGTCCGCCTCCGTAGCAAGCACAACATGTAAGCTTAACTATATAAGGTAGGAATGCCGATCCATCGAGCGCAATGCAATACCAAATTCTGCATCGATACCTGAATCTCAAATCCACGGCTTGCAATTCAATCCGTACCGAGATGAAAAAGAGCCATACCCAAAGCATGGACAGAATTCAAATGATCGCGTGCACCGAGATCTTAACTGCGGGCAGCCAGGGGGTGTTTCAAGCCCGCGCTAATTAGGACAGGGCGCTGCACTGGAACGTGTCATAAACTCAATTCCCTTCCTGCTGTATGCTGCGCTAGCGCTTTGGCG